TTTAATAATTTTTATTTGTACATAGTAGTATATTAGAAATTTTATAATTTTGTGCAATTTGATGTACTCGTACTATTCATATACTAACATGTTGTTTTATTGTTAATTTATTTTAAAATAAAACAACATACTAAAAATTATTTTTTTGAATTATTTTTCTATGAATTATCATTAATTTTATGATTTTTAAATTGAACTCACACAATTTTATATTTGACTAAATTAAATAAGGTAATATTATATTTAAAAATTATTTTATATAATGTATATTATATATTTCCGTTTGTGTTTTTATTTTCATCACAGAGAAAGAAAATCATTGAAATTAATTAACTTAAACTGATTTTAAATGCAATGACATAATCTGTAAATAAAAAAATACAAAAGGAAAGTATTTAATTTATTGTAAATACAATGACTAAATGTACAAATAAAAGAAAATACTTAATCTACTATCCATGTTTGCAAACAATGTTTCATTTATTATACTATCCTTATTTCCAAACAGTACCAAAAGGTACTTCAGTTTTAATAATATAGATATTCATTGACATTGCTGAGTGGTAACATTATATGTCGAGGCTAAGGGAAGACAACTTAACTTAACAACAAAACTCGCATAACAAGATTTTAACATTTTACTAAATTTCAATTCGCTTTTTAAAAACGCGAAGTTCTATCTATCTTTAAAACTAATTTAAAAAATATAAATTTTGTTTTCAATATTTCAAGTTTTTTAAAGTTTAGAATTAATGTATATACATTATAGTATGTTGATTAGGTTTTCTAAAATAAATGTGTTTCTTTAATAAGACTATAGAATTGGATAAGTAAGATGTGCTTCTATATATACAATAAATAGTCTTCCAATTTACAACAAACCAATTATGTATTTATATCAATTTGTAGAATGGAAATGATAATTGGTGGTCTTTAAAACCTGGATAATCTTATTAGTTACCTTGTTTTTTGGGATATAATACTTGTTAGAATAATTTTACAAATATGGAATTTTTTAAGAAAAACGATAGATTTTTTTCCTAAAATAATCAAAAGGTTATCTATATTATTGAAACAGAAACATTATAACTTCTTCTAGGTAGATTTTAAATTTTGACCTTCTATTATTTAAGTTTATTACCTCGACATTTAATAAAATATTTCCTTAAATAATCTTTCACTAATAATCATAATTATTTGGGATTTTTGCAAATTTGACTCAAAACTCAAAGTCAAACACAAAACTAACCTTTTTTTTACTTTTCGTTTGTCTTCTTCACCCCACATGTTCACATTATTTACGAAAATGCCATTACATTTTTTTCTTTTTTTCAATTTTTTTTTTACTCTCTCAACCTCATCATTTTCAAGTATTTACAAGATTGACATTGCCATTAATACCCTAACTACCATGAACAGCCAATTTGAAACTCTTAATGCACCTATAATCGATTTACACTTTCTCTTTCTCAATTGTTATAAACTAAAAACAACATCTCTTTCACTTTGTCTCCATATTCATACAAAAAGCCCAAGCTTTTGATTCAAATTTTTTTATGGTTGATAGAGCCATTTAAGCATACAATTCTTGGTGGGTTACTTTCATTTGATATTCTGGGTGGTTGGAGAAGACTTTGTGTGCTAAGGAAGTCATCTCACCTAGTTTAAGGTATGAAATTGAAATTTTTTCCAGATCTGTTCGCGTAGAAGACTTACTCGTAAGTCTTCTAGATGTAAGTCGTCCAGCTGGACGAATTAGAAGTAAGTCGTCCAGCTTTGTATGTTAAAAAAAAATCTAGACAACTTATAAGTAAGTCGTCTAGGAAAAACATGCTACTTTTGCATTTGACCGAATTGTGTCAGATATTTGACGTTTCCTGGACGACTTACTGGTAAGTCGTCTCGGAAAAGTCAAATATCTGACACAATTCGGTCAAATGCAAAAACTAGCCCGTTTTTCCTAGACAAGTTACTTATAAGTCGTCTAGATTTTTTTTTTAACATACAAAGATGGACAACTTAGAAGTAAATCGTCTCATTTAAATTTCAATTGCAAAAATAACCTGTCTGGAAGACTTACAGTTAAGTCGTCTGGACGACTTACGGTTAAGTGTTCTGGACGATTTACAGTTAAGTCGTCTGGACGACTTACTTATATGTCGTCTGCGTCAATGACTAATAATTAAGTCATCTGGAAAGTCTACTAAGTCGTCCAGGCTTTATGAGTATGTATTAAGAATTTGTGTTAGTCTTCTCAGGTGACTAATAATTTAGTCATCTGGAAAGTTTTCCAGCTAGATGACTTTCCAGACGACTTAATTATTAGTCTTCTACTAAGTCGTCTGGAAAGTCTTTCAGCTGGATGACTTTCCAGACGACTTAATTATTAGTCTTCTACTAAGTCGTCTAGGCTTTATGAAATAATTCAGTCAAATCCAGTAATGTTTGATCTTCTGTGAATTGTACTAAGTTTTCTTGGTTGAATAGAGTGATAAAAATATTTTTTGAATTACATGTATTTTTAAAAGTGTTAAATAATTTCATGATATGTAAATCTCATATTTTAAAAATATTTTTTTCTCCCTTAATTTTACTAAATTTGACTAAGTTTTTCAACACAACCTTGTAATACATGTAATATGCTTTAACACCATTGATGATTTGTTGGAAGAAATGTTAAAATGCTTCTTAAAATGTTGTATCAAGACGAGGCTACCAACATTCTTGTTTATTAAGATGAGCAGAAGGCCATTGTGATTTATTATTGCATATGGGAGATCCAAATGAAAAAAACTATTGAAGTCTATTATTTCATTGATTTGTAAATGTGTAAACACATTGTTAGCACATATATTACATCTTGGGAACTGATTTTACAAAACTATAATAGATCATTCCTTTATAAAGACACGGTTGGACTCCACTTGATATGAAAGAAGACAGCGTCAGAAAACTTCCAGGAAGTCTAGACAACTTCCAGACGACTTACAGGAATTCCAGATGACTTACAGGAAGTCAAGATGACTTCCAGGTAAGTCCTCCCATAAGTCTTCCAGATCTGAAAAACATGCATTTCAAGCCCAGATCTGAATAACCTGCATATCAAAAAACATTCAAATGGCTTAAAACACACATAAAATGAGTGAAAGATTAGATATATATACTTTTATAGAACACACAACATACATATCCAATGAAGATGAGAACCATCTGATTAAAAACCTGCAAAAAAAAAAAGATAGATTAGTGAGAAAAACATGAGACAAAACTGAATTATATAAAGTTAATAGATCTATCTTTAAATGAGTGGAATATGAGAATCATGTGATGAAAAACCTACAAAAACAAGATAAATTAATGAGAAAGACATAAGAAACAAAACAATAAATTGATATAAAGTTTGGTGTTTATAAGTTCAAAGAGATTATAGAGAGGTTATAGAGTTCTAGAAAGATGAACATTACATTTTTGTTGCAGACATTTGAGAGGAGGAGAGAGAATGTGTAAATTTTTCTTTATATAGGGAAAGAAAAATTAGGTTAAATATTTTCGATTCAGATGACTGAAATGTAAGTCGTCCAGGAGACTTTGATAATTTTAGCGGGAAACTAAAATATTTATAACGGGAAACTAAAATAGAAGACTTTGTAGAGTAAGTCGTTCAGAAGACTTACAAGTAAGTCGTCCAGAAGACTTACAAGTAAGATGTCTAGTTTAAATTATTCAAGCGGAAAAAAAAAATTTAGGCAGGAATATTAGTACGACTTACAAGTCTGTGTAAAATTATTTACCAGACGACTGATATTTCAGTTATCCATACCCTAAACCTTAAACCCTAAACTAAATTAACTAAATTAACTAGCTAACCACGTTAAAAAATCAAATTATACTTAAATAGTGTTTACTATACACAGAAATAAACACACTTAGGTAAATTTTAAATTTTTCAAAACAATATTTATGCTTTCGAAAATCTAACCCTAAGAAACACATATAATACTACAACATATGTTGGCAAACCCTAAACCAAAGAATATCATGACTCACTACTTTCACTCATCTATGTTAAAATAATTAAATTTTGTTCTATCTTAATTTATATCTCTTAAAACATATGTTAATTACATGATTTCAATTTTTCACTTATCTAAAATTTTTTTACAAAATTTTTAAATTATTTTTAAGAATAACTATACTAGACGACTTAGTTGAAAGTCGTCTGGATAGAATAGTTACGGGGGTTTGAAAGGTAAAAAAAATCGGGTTTTTTGTTTGTTCACAAGGGGTTGGTTGTAATTTTAATAGTTTTTTAGGTTACTTTTGCATTTGATTCATGTTTGAGTTTACTTTTGAATCTGAAACCAAGTTTTGCGTCATATTTGGCAAATTTTCCTAATTATTTTCTTCCATATCTCATATAATATTTCCAATACGAATACTTCTATGTATCTATTATATTATTCAACTAATATATTAATCTATATTTATGTACTATACTTCCATTATAAGACAAACTATATTATATATCTTCATTTATGTCAATTGTTTGCAGATAATTTGTTAGTCTAATCTATTAATATTTATATTGGTATTATCACTACTTTTAGCCAATGTTATTTCAATACTATAAAATTGATTAACTTTAAAACTTTAAACTATGGGTGGGCATTTGGTAGTCATTCGAGTTCGGTTCGAGTCTATTTAGGTTTCAAGTTTTTGAGGTTAAAAATTTCATCTCTATTTGAATATTTATGAAATTTGGTTCGGGTTCATTTCAGATCCTTATGGTTTTGAATTCGGGTAACCAATTTAAGGTTTTCACCGCACATATATCTATAATACACTTATGAAAAACTATTAATACAATATATAATTTTAATCATGTTGTTTTAGTCACATAAAATAAATATGGACAAACTTTAAACAATATAAAATAAATAAATATTTTGTTTAAACAAAAATAAAACCTGCACCGACAAGTCATGATCTAGTAATTATTTCTTTAATTGTTAATCTTACAATTGCTTGAAATATTATTATATCAAGTTAACAACAAAACTCGCATAACAAAGGTTTTAACATTGTATAACTGTCACTGATCTTGTGGAATAGGGAGTTAAAAATTTGCGGATACAAATCAGACAACCGGTTTATCTTCCTGCTCGTTCTTGTTTTCATCCTCATCCTCGGATTGAACCAACTTCAACCTGAGTCTACCATCTTCACGACTCGCTTGAAGAAACTCTCTTCTAGGAATCCTAACTTCCTCCAACACAAGCCTCCCTTCTTCCCTATACGTCTTGAAGCTCATCCTCGTTATCGCCGGAGGATACTCTCTCCGTTCCTTTCCCCGTGGTCCACACTCCTCGTCGTTGCTTACTTTATACTCTTTACCCTTTATATCACTTTCTTTTACGTTTTTGTTACAGTTGACTTTACCATCTTCCAAGTCATAATAGCTCTCTGACCCTAGACCTTCCGTACACAGCTGTAGGCTGCTGTTCTCGCCTCTGGGCGATTCCCTGAAATGGAGCTCACCGAATATCTCTGTAAACGGTGTCGTTTCGTTGTGGTCGGTGACGTGGATCCCTTTGATGGGGATTGGGTTCCAAGGTGAAGGAGAGGAGAGAGTATCCAGAAGAGACTTTGGAGTGTTGTTTTGTCTTTGTTGCTCGAATATTTGATGAAAGCTTCTATAGGCTGCCATTGGTGGAGGAAGAAAGAGAATGAGAGTTTGTTCTCTTCTTCGTTTCAGTGTGTGTATGTGTTTTTGAGGTTGTAAGAGAGGTGGAGAAGACACGAGATAGACATGAACGGGAAGATGTTGTCAAATATATATTTGTTTGGAGGAACATACTCGAATAAAATGATAAAAATATTTGTTATATTCTAATAAAGAGACGTCTAATAGCACATGTAAGTTCAGCGGTTGAACAAAACCCCAAATATAAAAATAAAAAAAGTTAAAATTATATATATATATATATATATATATATATATATATAAATTATGATACAAACTTTAAATTTTTAGATATATTCTTAGAATAGAAACTTACAATTTTTTAAAAACATCAAACCTAGTTATTAAATGGTTAAGTATACCATTAATATTATTTTTTTGAACATAGTCTATAAATCATATGAGAGGGTCATGATTCTAATGTTCAAATGGAATCGGATTACTAGTTAAACATGTCTGTATTACTTTTGTATTTCATTTAGTTTTAATTGGGCGATGGTGATAAATGATGGCACTGGTCTAGATCATTCTGTAACATTGATCATAATATATTAGTTGCGACCTAACCAACAAAGGCAACTCAAACTGGGTAATAAAAATTTTACTCGTCGAAGATGAGTTTGGTTTTTCTTATACAGTAAACATTTTACTGTGCATGCACTACATTAAATAGATATATTAAATTTGGGTATGTTGTACGTTGTTTATGTATATGATAATTGATTAATTAGGTATCTTAAATCTAATTATTTATTCTTCAACAACTATAGTTTATTACATGTTATGCATAAGCCGATATAAATTATACTAATAAGCTATTTGTAAGTGAAACATTTCGGTATTATAATAATACAATAATGGCTGAATAATGAAAATGATAGCGCATGACGTAGAAAACATATTATATACTCTCTTATATGCACATATGAATGATGCTTCTATATGTTGGTTTCATTAAATGTTAACCGCACAGCTGAAATCACATTTCCACGAGCTTGTAACCTTGCAAGAATTAATATCATGATACTACTACACCTCCAATACAAAACCATTAATGTTCTCTATATGAAAAATACACAACGGATGAAGAGAATGGAATAAAGAGGAGCGACAAGTGGATCCAATTTTGGTGGCTATAATTATCTTGACACAGCCATATAATTTAAATGGACTCTTATATTTTAACTAGGTTCATAGCTCCGTGCAAGCGCGGAGCCGGAGACAGTGATGATGCGTTATGATGTTTTATAGAGGGGATTTTGTCATTTTTTTAGACATTTTTTTGTTTGGGGTTTAACCAAAAACCCGATTGAATTTAGTTGGTATATGAATGAGTGAAAATTCATATGCTTTGAAATATTCATATATTATTTTAATAATGATTTTCTCGAATATTTGTTTATTAGTGCTTTTATGTCTAGGATGGGTGATTTATTATGTTGTTATTGTCTAATTTGTAGGTTGGTAGTATATTATTTTTAAATAGTGAATTAGCATTTAAAAAATAATTAAGATTTTATTAAATTATACAAAGAAATATAGTTTAATGGATTGGAGAGAAAAAGATGAAACATGTTTGTTAAGGGGTTGTGTGGAATGTTTAGAGATCAATATTTATTAGTGAGTAAAGACCTGTTTTTATTTACAGATAAGAGTGTTTGACGAAATTATATGTGTTCGTATTTCTACATTTTTTTACGAATTAATTGGATCTTAATGTTATTAGTGAGTTAATAACCATATGTAACCAAATATAGGTATTTGTTACTATACAACTATAATATGGGAACGAAGAAGAAATAATTTTGTTATTCGAAAAGAAATATAGTTTGTTGTTTTCAATGTGCCATGACATGTTTTGAAAATNTAACCATATGTAACCAAATATAGGTATTTGTTACTATACAACTATAATATGGGAACGAAGAAGAAATAATTTTGTTATTCGAAAAGAAATATAGTTTGTTGTTTTCAATGTGCCATGACATGTTTTGAAAATATATAACTGTAGTTTAATAAATGCTAAGGCTTCGTATAATTATATACATGTATGACTAAGATAGTTATTTTTTTTTATATTTGTCAAAAATATTTTGTGGTAGTTTAAAAATGGGAATGGTAGATTAAAAAATTTAGTCGTATAGGATTATATTCGAACACAATGAAAATGTAGTAGCTGAGTTTTAAATGATTGGACTTGAAATTTGATGAGTCTTGAGTATCAATTTAGATCTGAAACTGGATTGTTTACTCGTCCTTTTTCTTTCTCCTCGTCATCTTCAGTAGTGTGACAAGCTCTTGTGATTCTTGGACTGATTGTGTTTTTAGTGTGTCATTTTGTGCAATTATGGTTTTTCTATAGCAACATGGAAGAGAGATTAGCTCACCTTAGTTAAGGCTGTCTCCATCGCATTCCTTACTCAGTGAACCTCTGTTGATTCGGTGTTCTCGGAACCTGCAATAAGAAGGTTTGAATTTGTTGTATGAATTTATTTCTATTATTATTAGTTTCGTTTACTAAAACCCATACTGAATGATTTGAGGTTCTATATGTTAATTTGGTTGGTATGGATTATGTTTACTTTAACATGACAGAGAAACTTGAAGGCTGCATGACGGATGCCGGTGACACTAGTTTTAGGAACTGGAGAAGGAGAGAGAGACATTTTCTAGAAGATGGTTAAAGTTAAGAGGAATAGATAAGTTTTGTGGAGATGCACATAGGGTTCATCAAAGATGAGAATCATATATATATGATTTACAGAGGGGCTACAAATCATGAACATTTATGATCAAGCGATGTAAGATGGGGAGATGAAAAGTTCACCGGTGAAAAAAATAGATTACGAACAGACACACGACCCAACTCTATAACTCAGACCTGTATGAGACGATGGTGAAAGGAATCTTAACTCATTTTAAACATTAACGGTTTACAATATGGGAAAACTGTAAATGTTGTAAACTTGAAGATTTTCTTCATATAATATGATGAAGCCCAATTAAAAATGAAACTCATAATACACTTCCAGGCCCGAACTTTAAAGGAGGCCATAGATGCAAAGGCTTCCGGCTAAATATATATTAGTTTTGGCCATCAATGTACAAGTTATCTTGTAGTTTAGTGGTATGAATGTTAGTGTTTGTTTCTTAATAACCTGGGTTCGAATCATATGTTTGACATTTTTTCACATTTTTAAAGTGGGACCCACCTAATGCTGATGTGGCGCGTTGAGGAGTCTTGAAACTCAACTATTATAATATAGAAGATTATATTATGGAATCATGCCACCATTCATTTCTCTTTCCGAAATTTGTTTGATTTGATTTTTCCTTAAAATATCGTATCTTTGTATAAAAAATATTTAAATTACTGAGAACACACATTTTTAAAACTAACGCTTCGACCGTTACCGCTTTTGATATCTAAGTTACAAACGCTTTTGTTATTTAGGTTTTGATAGAAAAAAGAGAGAAAATAGGTGAAATTTAAATTGTAAATAACGTGGAAGCTTTCTAAAGATTACAACTTTTTCTGAACAAAAAATCATTGAACTTCCAATAGTAGCATACCACGAAAGATTCGAGATATAGATTGACTCGATGTGATTGGTTAAATTGTGGGAGCCTCGTGATCGTCAACCACATAATATCAGTGCACGATAGTATATTCTCTAATAGGCTAATAGCCAGGCGTTATGGAGACTCATCACAATTGTACAACATAACCACATTTTCTAAGTATCCGTATTGAATGAAATATCAATAATAGTATCGGTCAACATTTTGAAACCGTATTGAATGAAATATCAATAATAGTAACCATAATTACTTAGTTATTTCCAGATATTTAATGGTAAACGAGCTTGTGCACTTGTGCTAATGGGTAGGTCTGTTAATGCGGAACGGTCCTTCTCGTTAAACCCGTTTTACCATGGTTGGATATTCTATTACCTAGCGGTTTAATATATCTAAGCACATATACATGTCTCATATGTGTCCACAGGTCTCTGATCATATGTATGATACATAGTTAACAAGTAAATTGCTTTTATATATCATAAGTTCAGGGGCGGAGCTAATGCACAAGGAGTGGTTTTTAAAATTTAAAAAAAGATCGAGTGATTGTGGTCAAGTGGTAAGAAACACCAATATATTTCAGTTTCGATCCACCTGCTGCACGAAACTAAGTCATACTTATCTCTAGTCACCTAACACGGATATGTGACTATACTCATTTGACTATCTGAAAAGAGAATCTATATGTGGACTGCACATCCCTTTAAAAATTTAGTCTGGACCTCTATGTAAATTTGGGATACCCCAGATTAACCAAAAAAATGTTATGTGTTTTTTTATTAGAATTATTTTGTGACCCCATAAAAAAAATTCAGTAACCCCACAATAAAACAAAACGTGAAACAAACGCATAATTAAAACATCAATCATTATTTTTGGGTTCTATTTTGGACTAAATATTGATTTTGGGCTCGATTTTAATTTAACTCACTTTATATATAAAGAAGTATTCATCGTTTAATGAATTTTCATAACTATTAATTTAGCAACTGATGTTCGTTTTCTTTTTTATCAGTGTAATGTTATTTCTACTTTTTATTGTTTACTAAAACTAAAAAATAAAACGGGTTTACGTTATAGATTTTCCAATATACCTTAATCTATATAAATCATCTTTTATTTTATATTAAATTATATAAAATAATGTAAACTCACAGATAAAGTTAATGTTTATATTTATAATTTAATTTTATTAGATAATGCATCAATTTTTAAAATATATTTTAAATAATAATTAAAATATTTGGTAAATACCTTTACAGTATCTTTATTATTTGTTTAATCACTTTAAACTAAAATATAATTAGTTTTTGGTAAAATATATAAAACATAAATATAAAATATATTATATATTTAAACATTTATCAAAAAAATTGACGCCAATCTAAATTTTTTTTGCCTCCATCACTGAATTATCTATTTGAACACAAAAAGGGAGTTGATACCATTGAAACAAACGCTGGATGTTATGATATTCGTTAAATGTATAGTATTTGTTTTATGGTAATTAAAGAGTTTACTTGAGTCTCGAAAAACAACTTTATTTGGTTATTATAATTTGTTTGTTCGAATATTTTTTAGGAGTTATATATTTAATAATAATAATTAGCTTTTTAAAAAGTTAATAATAATAATTAATTTTCTTTTGTTTGTTTTATAGTATCATTTAGTCAACTAATCTGCCTGATAAAATATATTGTTGTGTGACGAATGTCCACATAACTGTGGTCCTTGGAGCCCTGTCCGAACCTTTTCCACTTGGTCAATGACCAATAACATCTGCCTCAATACCTCATTTATCTACATCTTTATATACCCTAACACACGTAGACAATAAAGATTCTGCGAATATTTTTATACGAATTGTTATTAGTGTCCATAATCGTTAGCGACTGACGGATGCCCTATCCGTTGAGTGGGCCTTGACTGATGTCTCCTAGTTTATACTAAATCGAATCATCCAGATACGTATAGGAATAAGCATTTTACTCCTAGTATAAAAGATATAACGATTAGAAATTTCAGTAGACCGAAAGAATCTTATTGTAAGAATTCAAGAGAATCGATTTGAAAACGCTAACAATGTTTTACGAAACTTTAAATTAATAAATTGTAAGTTAAAACCATTTTCATTGATAAATGTTACATATTCTGATTCTTGTTGTATTATAACATGTTACTACTAAACTGCTCGCTCCACTTACAAATTTGCTTAGCACAGCCCGACATTCTTTGGAAACCATTCAATAAAATTACAATGTAAATATCTTATTAGTATGAATGTGTTATATGGTCAAGTCATTATCAGCATTATAGCAAAAATCTTTCATGAAAAAGATATTACCATATATAACAGAAACTAGTTTGTAAGAAATCATAACAAAAAAACTATAAAACCCACGTGAGAAATACCAAGTACTAACAAACAAATTAGCACCATCAAGAGTAAGTATCATAAATCATGGCCACAACTTTCAAAATTTGATTCCGATAGAGTGCTTATTTTAAAGAGATGTTATCGCTATTCTTTTTCTGCAACCATGATATAAAGATTAAAAGTTGACAGCATCCATCAAGCCAAACTGGTGGCGATGTACCCAAATATGTGGAGAATACTAACCTGTGAAATTATTTATAATGAATGATCAAAGACTTACCACTTTTTATATCAACACAAAGCTCAAACTTTAGAAATGTAATGTTGTAAACTGTATTCAGTTTTTGATTAAAAAAACAATCCAGTTTTTTGATTAAAAAAAAAAATCTATAGCTTGACTATATCTTCATCGTGTGTGTTATCAATTAAAACACAGTTCCGTCAATTCAAGTATCATCATTTTTTTTCCTACTAAAGAATAATTCAAACAGCAGTCAGGTTTTATTACTTTGAAGGTTTTTTAAAAGAAAAAAAAAACTTAAAGACGTATATTATAAAGTCGTTACAAAAGATTATAAAATCGTTATTGGAAAGGCGTATGCGTATAATAAGTATGCAAATGGCATGCAACTTTTTGTGACCCACTAGAAAAAAGTTACGATGACTGTACAACGTTGAATTCAACTATACATATATTCCCCTCAAGAATATGCTTTTGTCATGCACTTTTTTCTTGAGAGTTGCAATGGTCCCTTGGTCCTTCGAAGAACCAAAATATTTAAACCCATCTTTCTCAATTATCTCAACTTTTCCTTTGCGCGCTACTCATCAATATTGCAGTCTTATGACTAGTATAGAAAAAGTATTTTAACATAACATATACCATCAATATTGCAGTCTTATGACTAGTATAAGACACTATATTTTAGAGTTTGCAAAACTCTATATTTGAAGTTTGTAGGTGTTATGTTCCAAAAACAAAACTTCAAATTGAACTTTAAAACTATTTATATTTTATACTATGGTCCTTATATTTGTCATAACTAGTTTAAATTCATATAACTTTTATAAATAACTAACACATATATAAAAATATTACAGCAATATTAAATGGTAAAATATTACACTAAAATATGAATTATTAATAAAAATATATAATTAAATGTTAAACTATAAATAAAATATCACCTTAAGTTTTGTAATATTGTTGTTGTCTAATTCTAATTTTAACTATTTTTAATCTTTTTTTTGTGAAAACAGTATGTGTAAAATTTAAATTTGTAAAAAAAACTTGAAATATTAACGAGATATGAATTTTCAAGGGTTAAAATGATAAAAACATAATATATAAAACTTATAAATATAATGTATAATTGTAAGGATCAAAATGCAAACAAAAATATGAAACTTCAAATTTGAAGTTTTGAGTAGTGACACTCTATATTTGAAGTTTCACTACTCAAAACTTCAAATTTGAAGTTTTAGAGTTCCTTTTTGGAGAACCAAAAACTTTATATTTGAAGTTATAGAGTGTCTTTTGGAGATGCTCTTAATTTGATCCCATATAAGCATTTAATTTGTAATTTTTACTAACAATAAAAGCAAAGGAAGATAGGAGGAACATGGTTGGTTCACCATAGCAATATTTAAGTGCCCGAGAGAGACACTGGTTCAAAACGGTTTACAAGTTTGGTTAAGGATTGGTGTTGGACGATTGTTAACACAGAAAAAGAATCTAAACGATAACAACAGAACCACATTAACACATGCAAAACAAGAGTTTCTATGCTCCTTTTTTTTCACCGCCAAGCTTCAGTACGCTCTGCACGCGAACCTACACGGCTCAAGTTGGTCAATCCTTTTGTGTAACACACATGCCACAGAGCTGGCAGAGGCAGGGCCAAAGTCAACACACTACTTTTAATCTCTGTTTCCATCTGACCCGAGTCACAGGTCCTGGCATTGTTATCAAGGGTTTATTATCTGATATCTCATTGCTTAAACTAGGGGTGGGCACTTTATCCGATACCCGAACTCATACTCGAACCCGACCCGAAATATCCGAACCGAAATCCGAACCGAAGTAGCAAAATACCCGAACGGGTATTAAGTTAGGAGAGTTTGGATATCCGAACCCGAACGGGTAATATCCGAACCCGAACGGGTATCCGAAGATAACCGAACATGTGTATATATACCTATTTATTCCTAGTTTATTTTTCTCATTTTATTAAAAATATTTATATTAATGTTATATATAGTTTAATATCAGATAATATACATATAATTGTAAAAAAATGATTTATTACTCATTTAAAATTCATATTAAGCTTCTTATTTGATATTTTAAACAAAATTTGCATTCAAAATTCGAAATAACAACCAAAATAATGATTTTTAATATCAATAATTTATTTTCAAACTTATTAATCGTCTAACTTATTAAACATTTTTAAAACAGTTAAGCTAATATTTTAATTTTAAAATACATGAAACTTAAGTAATAAAGAATTTGAATTTTTTCTTTCAAAATCTAAATATCCGAACCCGACCCGAAATAACCATACCCGAACTAAAAATATCCGAACCCGACCCGATATGTAAAAATACCCGAACGGGTTCTAAACCCCAATACCGAAATACCCGAAAACCCGAAATACCCGACCCGAACCCGAACGGGTACCCGAACGCCCACCCCTAGCTTAAACTATGACTTTTGCATTTTTGACGTAGTCTGCTTGAAGTTCTTCACTCTGCTCAATGGTGTTAAAAGCCAAAGACTGTGAAGGGCTTTGTTGGCTGCTGCTCTCATCAGAAGGTTCTAAAGGGAAGACGTGAGCTTCCTCTTCTATAGAGTCTTGCCTTTCCCTTTGAGTTTTTTCTCGATTAGCATCCTGAGGAAGTTTATCACTTGAACCACATACCTCAACGCTGTCAACGAATCATCCATTTACAAGAGAACGTTTTTAAATCAATCTGTCTATTCCGAGTCACAAGAGTCAAACATGACAGTAAAAGACCTCACCTGAGTCATATTAGGAGCAAATACCATAGAGAAGTTGCGTGAATTCATCTTGTTAAGATGCTCATATTGAAGTTAAACTTGATTTTGGACTATGAGTTCCAATAATCTTATTGGGCTAAAACCAAAGTTACGTTAAGGTTCTAGAATCTTACTGAAAAAATCATAAAAGATCATCACCTCCTCAAAGTGTTCTAGAGATCTCTTTTGGATAAGTATTAGTAGAAAAATCTAGATATTATGGTAGAGAGTTCTAGAGATTAAGATAAGGTTTGTAAGATATTTTGTACTTTTGGAGCATATATATAGCTCCCTCCTCTCTCATTTGTAACATACCATAAGAAGTTGAACAAGTAAAATAATTAGAAAGTTTAACAAAAGAGTGTTATAATCAAAGTTCTCTAAATTTTTTTAAGAGTTCTTCCATATTATTCTTCATACTTAAAAGTTCTCTTGTTTCTTTCGAATTTTTCGGGTACTATGGTCTAGGGCTAATGCTAAGCACTATCAAAGTTTTTTTTTTCAGCTCATATTGAACAATATCAGCCACAAGATTGATGGCCCAATAAAGAAGAGAAGCTTCTGCAGGTGGAAGAAGCCTAACTAGCTCCACATATTCCTCTTCTATTTGGCATTGCATGACTTGTTTAGGAGACAAGGAATCAAGAACGCTTGTACGGAGTTCTATAAACCATGCCTGAACCCAAATGAACATTAGTAAGAAAACAAGATTGATAAAGACTTTTGTAATGAATGAACATTACATACCTTGTTAAGCCCAGCCAAACAGTGAACATCGACTAGCTCGGGTACAAACCCTCGGTTCAGTTGTTCCTTAACAGCCACTTCCTCAGTATTCTCTCAGCAGTGAGTCCGAAAATTCCCTCTACCTGAAGAAGAGGTTACATGGAAAGCTTATAAGATATTGACTTTATTTGGATGAAAATTTGATGAAGCAATGTACCTGCAAGCCACCTTGAGTGTATAAATAGTTTTACATCAACAAGAGTATAGTTGGTACACAAGTGCCCCTTGAATCACATGATAACTGTATCAACTCATTTTTTCTAGTGGAGAAAAAATTATTTTTTTTTTTTTTGGTATGTTATTACAATGAATGTTATTACAGTCCATTGTGATATGGGAAAACACTTTTGATTGTTAAAAACGCGCGAGACAAGATCATTTTGCTATCAATGTATTGGCAAAGTTCAACATGAATTCAGTGTGGATTTCATCATTGTTTTTTTTAAGTCGTATTTGTTAGATCATGTTTTCTAATAGTTTACATGTATTTTTCAAGATTGTTATGACTTTTTGAAGCAATATATCATATCAACTTCTGTGCTATATTTTTTTATAGACTATATTGAATTAAAAAAAAAATAGACGAATTTTTTTTTTGTCTATTGTCGTTGCAGATGAGTTGTTTTCATGGATAATGAATGGAATAACAATGAAAAGATAAATATTTGCTGAAATTGGGAATATAGGAGTGTGACAATACTTTTATTAATTAATGGAGAAACATTTTTAAAAAGAAACCTTCATTGTGTAAGTTATTTACAAGGGTGCCATGCTGAGGTGGCATCACCACAATCACTCTCAGCCTACATATTAAACTACTCATTATTTACTAGATTATTTACATCAATTGCCATTATCATATACAATATTAGCTGATCTCTCATAAACAATTATATTCGAAGGTTTTATTCTCTATACGATACAATGACGTACTCTACTCGGCAATCACCTGCATATATTTTATAAATAACAATGACTTTTTTTCGACTAAATAAATAACAATGACTTATCAATGTTATATGGCCAAGAAAATCTAGATCGTATAAGTGCTTACAAATAACAATGACTTAACAATAGCATTATCAACCGACTGAAACATGTAACACAAGAAATAATCCAGCATAGACAATGACTTATCAATGTTTTATTGTACTTACAAATAACAACCTAGATCGTATAAGTACTTACAAATAACAAAGACTTATCAATGTTTTCTTGTGATAATTGAACTCACTAAATACATAGTTATTTGTTAAATTAACACATAACTTTTTAACTTAATACGATTTTCTTTGTAAAATTAACATTAACACATTTTCTAGAAAACAAAGTACATTTTCTTGATTAGATTGAAAATTTATTCATAATACAACGACATAGATTTAAACGCAAACCGGGTTGATATAGTTTAAACCATGTTCTCTGAATTGCCAGTGAATTGTAATTAAACCATATTATTGTGTAGATACTTTAAAAATTAAAAATTCAGACGTAGGATTGAGGAATGTATCTAGCCTAACAACTTACATAAGTACGTCCCTTTATTACATACGATGTGGTCTTTTTAATTTAGGTTAGTATATATATAGGATTGACTGAATTAATTATATATAACCCACAATATCCCTTATATATGGTAAGTATTTATGCTGATTGTGCAAGTTAATATTGCATTTATAGAGAGTATTTTATCAATGACCTATCTATGGTAAACACAGAATATATTGTGCCTTGATTTCAAGTTGATTGACATGCTAACTTTTTTTCCATTTAATGCCTTAGATTACGCATATATTCAACTTAATACTTTTTTACTCCTATATAAACGAGGGAGGATGTTTATCATTTCTTCATTCACTAAACCAGATCAAAAAACACAGATCAATCAACATGGCTGCGATGAACAATATCTCCGAGTTGAAGCCTTTCAAGTCAATGTGGAAGGTTAAGGTTAAAATCATCCGGCTATGGAGGCAGTATTCAGCTGCGGGTGGTGAGACTATTGAGATGGTTTTGGTGGATTCTAGAGTAAGTTTATATTCTCTAATAATATTGCTTTGAAACTTATTTCAAAGTCTTATATAGTTTTTAAGGATTTGTTCATCTTTATAGGGTGATAAGATTCATGGAACGGTGAAGAAGGATGAAGTTGGACAGCTCGTCCATGTGCTGCAGCAGGAACAAACAAAAGTCCTAATTAATTTTGCGGTGACCCATTCAGGTGGTTCTTATCGCTCAACCAAACATCCATACAAGGTGGTGTTCCTTCCAACAACCCGTGTAAGGATATGTGAGGCGTTGCCCAACAACTTGACTGGATTGGAGCCGGTTATATACAGTGATTTACTCAAGGGAAGCTTGATCCAGATTTTTTAGTTGGTAAGAAAAGATTATTATGTATCCAAATGATTTTAAAACATTTAGTACTTTAAAATCTTAATTATTGTTATAAGTTACTAATCTCTATAACTCATTTGATATATCATAGATGTTGTCGGCCGAGTGGTTCAAGTGTCCCATATTGAAGTTGTGTCTGTTAATGGCAAGGACATACAGAAGATTTCAATGGAACTGCGTGACCATGAGTAAAATATAATATTATATGGATTTACATTTTTATATCGTCTCCCTTTAGATTGATAAATTTATATTTTCCTGTGTTTGTGCGTAGGGATGAACGTGTCCCATTGGTGTTATGGGGAAAGTTTGCGGAGGATATCAGTGATGCAGTTCTGATACAAGAGCCAAACCGAATGAAGAGTAGATCGATTGGATTTCTGATAAGAATCCTCTGTTATGGTTAACTATCAACAGCTTCAATCGAGTTTGATTATGTTAAGCTCCTGTCGAATTGATGCACAGCTGGAGAAGCAAAGGGATAACTAAAATTCACCGACAAAGAAAAAAAAAATCCATCTGTTTTTGTTAACGTGTTTGGTGGTGTTGAGTGGAGATCCTTTTTAAGAAAAAGTTAGTGTCCTTACGTAACTGGGCCGTATTGTATGTTTTTGGGTTGATCATACGTTTTCTGTCCAGATTTTTGTAGATATTATTCATCTTTTTGTTTTAATAAGAAAAACACAATTCAGAAGAGCCACAAAATTCAAAGTTGGAAAACACGTATTTTGTAATTAATAATTTTGTAATATATTTAAGAGAAAATTCCATATAAATATTCCAACTAAATTTTATTAAACTTTTTAATACCAAACCTTTTCACTACCCAATTTAATATCTCAACTAATAATTTTGCTAGTTTATTCTACAAATTTTAGAATTGTCTCCATTTTAATACCCAAACTTTGTTTATTTTAATTAACAATACTAATAAGGTCAATAAACTTTGGAGAAAATTTAGATGTTAAAAAAAGAATTTGAAGGAAAAGAAAATAATTTACTTTTCATTTCAGAAAACAAACTAAATTCAATATATAAAACTTACAAAACTTATTACAAAACTTAAGATTATAAAAAAATATTTAATATCATTCTCTAACATATAATAAAATCAATTTTTTGTAAAGTTTAGAAATTTTAAAAAAATTCTTTGAAACTTCTTCGTATTGTTAATTAAAATAAACAAAGTTTGGGTATTAAAACGGGTACATATATAAAAGTCTGTGCATTAAAATGGGAAAAATATTTAGTTGGGTATTAAATTGGATAGCGGAAAAAATTTAAGTATTAAAAAACTTAATAAAATTTAGTTGAGATATTTATATGGAATTTTCCCTATATTTAATCCTAATGCAGTTCGCTTTCAATAGATTTTGGTATAAATGAACCATATGATTTACTAATTTGATTTATCAATTATACACGTTTTTAACATATTACACTACATATTAAACATATTTTCTACAATTTTTTATAAAATAGAAATAAATGATTAAATAAATAAAAAATTTAATTGTAATTCTCATCCTGCGCAAGTCGTGGATCTTATCCTAGTTAGGTTATATAGAATGTGACAATACTTTTCCTCACGTGTTTTGGTTTAGTTTGCTTTTAACCACATTGTCTAGGAGGGTGCAAGTTGCCCTCTATGCTTTTTCAAAATCACGTACAAAATCCTAAACAATTTTAAATGTACCTCTTTAGTTTTAATAATTACTAGGTGACCGGCCCGCACCCTGTGCGGGTATATACAGATTCAAATTATGGACTTAATAATACAAAGTTTTAAAAGTAATAGATTTTATATCATAAGACCACCGTCTTTGAGGTAAAGCATCAGGAACAGAAAAAATGCTGGTACACAATATTTTACATGGAGGAGATGGAACAAAGTAACTTCAGTATCAATAGGTAGTTATTGTGTGTATTTATAATTGCAACATCACAAAAAAATTTATGTGTTGAAGGTTGAATTTTATTTTTCAAATCTGAAATTAATAGTGTGTAGTTTTATAAGTAACATATTTTCTGTTATCACTAATTAGAATTGTATTGTATATGTGTTGTAATTCTTAATTTTAGGTGAAAAATATTATTATGCATAATTTTTTCGTAAAATGTATGTAGACAGATTAAAAGAAATGTTACACATATCTCTCTCTCTCTCTCTCTCTCTCTCTCTCTCTCTCTCTCTCTCTCTCTCTCTCTCTCTCTCTCTCTCTCTCTCTCTCGTTATTCTGATTTTGGGACAATGAAATTTAATTAGGTCATTAAAGATTAGTACATTTGATACATCAATTCACGTTTTTGTTTAAGTGATCTAATAAAAGTTATAAGACAATACTATGAAAAAGAAGATGTAATAAAACTGAAGAACTTATACGACAACAATGAGAAAATGCTTTTATTATTAATTTATAACATTACAATAACGCGAATTCCACAAAAGTAAAACAAATAATTCAATTAATAGAAATTCTAACAAAAACCACAGCTTAACCAATAGAAGAGGATACTATTGATAACACGTTTTAAACTTAAACAACGTCAATGCGCTTCCGTTCAAAAGCATGATTGATTCAATCTACTCCAAGTCTGAAAGAACATGTAAAAAATTATATTTACCCAAACACAATTTCTAATGACGTTTTCTTTTGATAAAAACATGAGTTTACTTAGTTTATCCGTATTTGTTGGTTGCATAATATATCTTGTGATAGTTTTTTTCCAAGTAGCATTCCAAACGTTTTCTGGATGTGTGATACTATGTGTTAGTAATAGGACACAAAACAGCTAAAATATCTTAATATAATAATATCTCTATTATGCTAAAGTTATTTTATAAACAATTTTTGTTGTTAACATACATTTGTACTAAGCTCTAAATAAATATTTATGTGTTTCATTATGATATTAAGATATTTTAGGAATGTCTAAACATAGATTTAAAAAGTAAAAACTAATAATCATATGTTTAATCATGTTTGTTAATACAAACACAATATTTATAATGGGCCCGAATTGCACATAGAAATAAGAACTTGAAATACAAAAGATACTAATCCCGGCCCGAATGGCTCAAAGTAAAAACATCTGAACCGATGACAAAATTGTGTGGTCGATGACCAATCACTTTTTTTTTTTAAACAAAAAAGGAAAGAACAAAATTTTATGTCTCGATGTTTCTTTATCGAAAGACGATTTCCATGGCCAAACTTTAATCGAAGCTAGAGCACTCATGATACGAACGGCCGCGGCTTACTTGTGGTGGTAAAGATGGAAACGACTGCTTGAAGAGGTGCAAATCGATGGCAGCAAATCAAAGTACTTCATCTTTTCCAATCTATTTAGGTGATTTTCTCTAGGTGATTTTCTCTATTTTTTCTTTTAGCAGATATAAAAATCTAAAAAGAAAATCTTACTTGTTTTTTTTTTTAACTTGTTATGCATGTTGGATCTGAAGGCATCCGTGAAAAACACGATGAGTTTGAGATGGTTGAAGAACTTCACCTTTTCAAGTCTCTTTGACAAATTCCTAAGAAAATTTGAAAGACCACAAAAAGGTAAATCTGATTTCGCATCTTTCTTTTTGATCCATAGTTAATAGTTAATAAAAATCTAATTGTTGTAAAATTGATTCAAAAAAAATCTGAATAACAAAAGCCAAATAACAGTGGCAAGAAAGCCTAAGATTCTTTTGACATTTTCTATTTATTGTTAAAGTTATTAATTACAACTCTAGTATCTGTGTTTAAGTGTCTTAAAAATGGTGATTTTTTTTTCCTTTCAGGAATAATATACCCTCAGAGAAAATATTAATATTCAAAATACGAAGATTATGGATTTCATTATTCTATAAAGAGAAAACGAATTTAAAATAAAAGATAAGTTATTTCCAGATACTTTGTCTTCTTTCACGTTATTATAAATCCTAATTTCCATATAAATACAGAATGCTTAGTTTATTAATATGTGTATAAACAACATAATGAAATCATGTTTAAGAAAATACCTATATAAACCGAAGATAAAATCTTAAGGATGAATGAAACATCACATTTGTTGAAGGCATCAGTCTCTGAAATTGCAGGATTAATCAAGAGCTGTGATGCCTCAAATGCATTGGTGATTTGGAGTTCACCTGCAGCGAATATATAGGTAAGTATATTATAATACAATTAACATCCACTTGAAAATAATATTATCTATTAATTTTTTTTTAATTTAATAGATAAGAAAAGTTTATACCTCTAAATCTCCTGATCCTTACAAACCTGATTAGGTATATGGCTTTTCTTTCTTCTTCTTTACTGCAACCCTCATAGAGGCTCTCACACAGCATGAAACACGAGAGTCACTATTATTAAAAGTAGAATAAGTATTGAATTAATATGAACTTGAAGGATCACTCAAAATAATAAACGTGAGATAAAAAAATTACTTGATGTCGCGAGGTGTAAACTTCACTGCGACTTGGATAGTTTCAAGCACTCCCAAGTCCATAACCTGACCAATCACATCTGCGAAAAAAAATTAAAAATTAGCGTTTCAGTTATTGAAAATATAATAAAATACATTGATGTAAAAATTACGAATGAGAAAATTTGGGTTGAGTGATCCACTCAAAACATAGACGGAAAGTCTACCAAACTTAGGAACATGTTTTCATTCACAAGAAGAGATCTTGTGTTTTTGTACTATTGACGATACTCATTTTGTAGGAATGATCGGTTTCTCGATAGGATCCGGTTGCAGGACAGAGGCTATAATTCTGAATGTGTCTCCATGCTTCAACAGGAAGAAGGTGTCCTTTATTTTCCATGTAAGTCTTCTTGCTAGAGGCATGGATTTTATTTGTAGCTAATGTAGCTGTGAATAGATTTGAGAAAACTTTGGCACTTTATGGGTTTTTATATAGCAGTAGGTTAGTCGATGGCTTCTAACTGACGCTTAAACAAAATTTTAGTATATTCGGATTCAGTTTAGGAAATCCCTAGAGTATTGATCAAGCAAAAGTATTTAAAACTATATTGCTAACGAAAATTTACATATCTTAGCAATATTTACAATTCGTTTGGTACCGAAATCTTTATAATATCTACGATTTAAAGAAACAATATTTTTGAGTAGTTATTATATAGAGATTCTTCATGGCCAAGCTAAACGATTTAATGCATTCTTAAGGATTTTAAATAATAGTCAGATATTAGTTTTATGCATAAAATCAGATAGTTAAACAGCTCGTAACGAATTTAGAATATACCATCGGAATCAAATTTTAAAGTGTTCGTGAGTTGTTAGTCAAAAACATTAAAAATAATTATTTATTAAATGTTTTCTAATTTAAACCTGAATTTTTAGAATATACTATAAGAATAAGATATTATCAAAAATATTGTTGATAGCATTTTTGCGATTTTACTAATCTGTAAATAATATTAAAAAATTTAGGTAGGGGTTGGATTTTTCGGGTTTTGGTGGCAAACAGTTCCCCTATTGTTATGGTTTAGTTTTAGGAATGTTGGGGTATAGATTTACATAATAATATAGTTAATGTTACTGAGGCGGTTTATTCCCTGTCATCTATTACACACTATTAATTTTGTTTCTCTGACATCTAAAATATTTAATGCGCATTTAATGAATTAAACAGAGAAAGGATCGCAAAATGATGTTCTTTGAATCGAGAAAACACAAAAGGTAAGTATTTAAATGGATTTCCTTTTTAGTAGTGTCGATGGTAAAAATAAATCAAAAAATAAATTCTAAAAAATCAACCAATAGAATCGCTAGAATTCTTCTGAGAAGGGCTGTGTGAGTGCCACGTGTCAAAGTGACTTCTCTTTTAATGTATAGGGGGATATCATCTTTTTTTGTTTTGTTTATTTTCCCATATAAAATTTTCTCTACATCCGCTACCTAGAAGCACTACATTTTGCAAGTGAAAAAAAGTTTATAGCGTTTTATAACAATCACAGAATGGTAAATTATTTCAAAATTTCTCAAAATAAAAAAACTGGTCCTCGAAAGCAGTTTTAACATCTCCTAGCAATGACACAAAATTTGATATGCTCAAATTATTCCTAATGAGATACTCTGCAAATTCATAAGTGCATTGAAGTATTTAGGGATCGAATCCACACCATGGTCGAATTCACAGAGACCCAAGATTAGTCAATAGATTTTAGTTTTCGAATTAAGTTAAACAGAAGTGAATGTAATGCAAGTAAAACACATAAAGTAAAACAGGTGTAAGTTCCAATCGGGAAGAACCTAGACTTAGGGATGTTCACAGGTAATTCATAGTTGCAGATCAGAAGAACTGCTATGGGTTTATTAAGAACAATTCGTGAACTCAAATCACAACATTCAAATCAATAAACTTTAGTTGTAGAGATTATCTATGTTTAGTTCATATAATTCAAAATCTCTTTGCAAATCCAACAATTCATACAAACATTAAGTTAAGGTTTGATAAGTTCACAAAATCCCTAAACCAAAATTTCTTTGCAAATATGTATTTTGTTCATATAAGATTAGTTCAGGAAATCAATAACACTTTCATGTCTATCAATCATTTTAAGGTATATATTTGAGGTTGTCAATCTAGAATTAGAATTAAGTTCAATCTAGATGAAAATATAAAATAAACCTTACAATTCTATCAATCTAACAGTTCATCCTTATTCCTTGAAGAAACCTAAATCTAATAAGCAGATTACTCAGACGATTAAGAAAAGAAAAATTATAATTTGAAAAAACTGCATTAAGAAATCAGTAAGAGAGATAAAGGAGCTTGGAATCTTCTCTTTTGCTAAATTCTTATTTGTCTCTCCAAAGACCTTAACGAAACTCTCCAGGTCTGAATAATGATACCAAAACTCTCAAATAAATCTAAATAAAGTGTAAACACACAAAATAACTTGATTGTAAATTGTGAAACTTTGGGCCAATCTTCAATTTCTTGAAATTTTATAAAAACTTGTCGAGAAGTGCTTAATCACTATGAGTGTCGACCAACATAAGGGATGGTGTTGATCGACACCATGTCAAACTATGATCTCCATCTTGATGTTTTCAGATGACATTCTTCTTATGTTCCAAGGTTCTTTAGAATCTCCAATCTTATCCAAAATATACACGAACCCATAAAAACTCGAAAAAACTTTCAAAGATATCAAAACTGGACTTATATCATGATCAAAAATCTATAAACTATGATATATCAAATAGTATTGTGACTAGTCCAGCTCCAAGATTTTAAATAAGACCTAAAATGTAATCTCATGTTTTATATGGCCAGATAACAACAAATTTGTTCCCAGTAAAAACATGTTTGTTTTAGAGTCGTGTTACTTTTGGGCACCGTACTTACAAGTTTGTTCCCATTACAAACATGTTTATTTTAGAGTAGTGGTATATTTGGGCACCCGTACATTTAAAGCTTGCTTGATGGGACAAAAAGTTAGATAGGAAATTTTATTTTCTAAAGAAGCAATTTTGTAGTTAGTAGTTGGCTGTTATTGTTGATGCAGCAGTTGTCATCACTCAGAAATCCCTTGACTTACCCATCGATGGAACTTTTAATAGCATATGGAGAGGCCAGCTTACTTCGAATGGAATTATTACAAATTAGTTTCAACGTTAATTTTAATCTGGTGGTTATTTTGAAAGGAAATTGAGTATTTCTCAACTTCCATATGATATGAGGTGAATCAATGTTAATTTAGCATACTTTTGGAAACTTTAAATTTTAACTATACAGTGAAACCTCTATAAAATAATGTTGAGAATACAACAAAACTATAATCTTTTTATTAATTTAAAGATATTATTAATTTATTGATATACTAATTGAATCAAAAATTCATTTTGAGATTATAAAATTATATTATTTTATAGAGATTTTAGTATATATTAATTTATAGAGTATTAGTTTAAAGATGTTATACTGTATTAAAACTTTCTTTCAACGAATTGTTAATGTATATTAGAGTTTCTTCGATTTTGTAAAAGCCACTTTATCAGTGGTTTAAATGAAACTCATTAATAATTTTACATTAAGATATTTGAATTTCATTTCTTAGAAAAGTACTTTATAAAACGGAGGAAAAAATTACATGAAATCTTTTATATGGTACAAGTAAATCTGATCATGAATGGATTTTCATAGAACACCTTAAGTGATATAATTAGATGTGGATCTTCATAAAAGAAGCAAACTATTGGTTGTAAAATTATATGTAATTTTTTCATAATTGTATTATCGTAATAAACTAGCCTTAAAGAAAAATAGTTTTCTTACAGCACAAAACTAAGATAGATTTCTTACCACTGAAAAAGAAAATAATAGAGGGTGATACCCATATCTCCAATAACTAACTTTGAAAATCTTATAAAAGGCATATATCACGTGCATCTTTGTAATTGATTAAGATTTTTTCAATTTAGTTATATTGAATATAATGGTAGTGCTATATTGGTGAAATAACCTAAATGAATATCTCACTGGTTGGAGCTACTCTTGCAAATATATTTTTTGTCCAAAGTATTAGAAAAATAATGTATGAACTGATATTTTTTTAGTTATTCTTGGATTCACCAACCAATATAATTTTGTTATTTCATATTTAATATCTTTTTAAAAAGAAATAAAATATTATCAAGTTATATTATGTTTTAAAATAAAATAAAAATACAAATAAATAGTAATAGTTGTCAACAAAAATTCTTTTTTTTTAATTTTTTTTTAACGCCGTCAGCAAAACACTAAACCCTAAATGCCTACTAAATCATATACCCTTGGATAAATCATAAACATTAAATCAAAAACACTAGACACTATATTTTAAAAACACTAAACCCTTAATCCTAATTCCCAAACCCTTTGATAAATTGTTAACCCTAGGGTTTATGGTTTATTCAAGGGTTTAGAATTTAGTGTTTAAGATCTAGTGTTTAGTATTTAGAGTTCAATGTTTTGCTGACAGCGTTAAAGATAATTTTAAAAATCCTCTTTTTTATGCAACTATTACTATTTTATTTATTTTTATCCAAGAGTTTAGGGGTAATGATTATGGATTTATTGTTTTTCAGATTTTTTGTTTAGTATTTTTAATTTAGGGTTTACAATTTATCTGAGGGCTTAGGATTTACCCGAGAATTTAAGATTTAATATTTAGAGTTTAGGGTTTAAGGTTTAATGTTAGTAATATTTAATAAAAATCTTATTTTGTAACCATTATTTTTATTTTTAAATTTTTAAAATATAATATAACTTGAGAACATTTATTTCTTTTTTTTAAGATGTTAAATATGAAATAACATAAATATTATTATTGTTATTATTATTTTGAACATTCATTAGCAGCCACATAAAAATATTTTTTGGATCCGGTTAAAATTCTACTTTTTTCTCCTAGTTATTTTTATCTAGGGACGGTCCTAAGCATAACTAAGTGAGACATTGGGCTAGAGCTCCCAGTTTTTTTTAAAAAAAAGACAATTACATTGAAAAAGGCTCCAAATTTGTATAAAGAATTTTCTTAAAAAAAATTCTTACTAAATTGTTTAGGGTCCGCAATATCTCAAGGACACCCCTATTTTTAGCTCAAACTAAAGAAAATAATCATATTTAAGTATTTTTATTTGTTAGACTTGGAGGGATATCCTTTCTTTTTGTGCAAGGGATGGGTACCAGTGGTGGAGCCACCCTTATTGGAATGGGTCAATTGATCCATGTGAATTTCATGTAAAAACAATTTTTGGTTATATTTACGAAACAAATCTGGGAAAATATTGCAAAAATTAGCCTATTGACCC